GCTTTTCAACACTACCATACATTACTAGAGCTTTTTAGTATTTGAAAATCCCAGTAGTTTTCAAAGAAAGAAAAAACAAACTTTTTTCCTCACAATTCAATGTTGCTTTTGACACCGTCCATTGAATTGAATGACAGTATTCTTAACAAATCGGTGAGATGTTTTCCGCCAATTTGCAAATTTTTAGAAATTGAATTGACGCATATACAACATACATGTATATAAATCTGTGTTTAGAATAAGTGCATGGATCCTGACCAGGTAAGATATTCTTAATTTTTTACCTTAAGATTCGACGATGATAATCTCCTTTTTATAAACGTTGCTCATCTTGGTGTCAATATTTGTTTTCTAACTGAGTAAAAGTTAAATGATAGATAATTCATTCCGAATCCTTTCTTCTGGGACTGCAAAAACCACTAGAAACTGGAAATGTCATATTACAGAACAACTGATCGGCCTGCCATAAAAACCAGTTAATTTTAATTCTCATCCATTATTCCAGTTTAGGCGGAAATGAGGATAATTGTACCCTCAGTTATATAGGTTCAGAGAGAATGAAGAGTATATATAGAGTATATCAAGATAACTCCCGGCGAAAAGTTTTGGAAGGTTCGTTCACCAGCTGCTTTAGCGTCCCTATTTGATATAATTACGTCAATGGAGTCGAATAAGTTTGACATGTAATCACTAGTAGTATCACCTTCACCTAAAATATTCCGACTTGTAGGTATGTCCAGGATCCGTGCATGACTACAACGCGAAAAGTGCTTTCCATAGTTTCAGTGCATTCTTTGATGCTTGAAACTCAGCCAATAGATCAATTGGCTGAATATTTAGCATCACGTCCAACGCAGACAAAGGAGGGCTCTTGATATCAGTTATCTTTACCCGGTGTCTAATTTGGACCAGACAAAGCACAAATAGGTCGGAACAGGATCATCGGCATAAGCGACTACCTTCACCAGAAGCTAAAGCTGGGGTGAGAGAACTCCTTTCTGCGGTTTACCTCTATTAGCATTTTTCGCTATGGAACTCTCTCAAGCTTGATATACCTCTCAAGCTTGATGTACCTGCTTTTTAGCATCCTATCAATCCGTTCAACAGGATTGTGTAGTACCAGTGGCATAGAAGGCACTATGGATCGATTTCGAGCTTAAAGTACCCTCTATATTGCTAATGTGAAACTAACTGTCAACTTCGTGTCGGGCAGTCTCCACTAATTGATTGATTGACATACGCGTGTTATAATGTACTTATTGGTCCGGTAAACATTCCAAGGTCTTCGTCAGAAAGAACATGGGATATATTACGCAAATGTATCTTATACCTACCCCAAAACGTCAATTTTTTTTTTAAGTTCCACTTCCTTTGGTTGAATGGAAGTTGAGCTCCTTCTGAAGCAGAAACGGAAAGACTATCTAGTCCAGCTTCCTTAAAAGAAGAAATCCTTTTGACGCCTTTCCTTACCGTCGAGTAAATAATTGGGACTTCTTTTGTTAGGGTCGCGTCAAATAATAAATCGTGTGTAAGAGCACATACTTTAAACGCCAAAATTTTAACTTTTTTTTTAATTTTATTGAATGGAAGCAAAAGATGTCGGAAATAGAAATTTTAGAAGAAGTTTAGATTTGTCCGAATTACTCATCCTTGGGACGAATTATGGCCTACAAACGGCCAATGAAATCGTCACACTGGCTGAATGTTGCTCTGCGGTATGTTGGCCCATTCTCGGTGAAGCGCTTGCTTGAGGTGATCGACACTTTGGTATTTTTTAGTGCCAACCTTGCTTACCAAAATACTCCAGACACAATAGTCCAACGGATTGGTATCCAGAGATTTTGGTGGCCATTACGTGCTGGAAATGAAGTGAGGAACCTCATTTTGTAACCATTCTTGGGTGGCGCGTGCTGACCTCTTCGGCAAGTAAACACGATCATTTTGTTTGTATACAAACTGCTGGACAACGAATGTTTTCTCATCGGAGAAAACCAAATTCGGCAGTTCATCACTTTCGGCCAAGCGATGCAACTCTTTAGCTCTTTTGAGTCTATTTTATTTCTGTTGCGGTGTAATTTCTTACATTTCTTGGAATTTTAATGGCTTTACCCCGAGCTCATTTTCCAATATTTACCGAATGGAATATTGCGATATGTTCAGCTCACAAGCCATTTTTTGGCCACTGCGACGCGGTTTTCCATCAAGTTGATTCTTTACTTTTCGAACCATTTCTGCTGATGTTGCGGTTTTCTTCGGTCGACTTCCTACGCTAGCAGTATCACGGTAACGAGCGATGGTACGAGACACAAAAGATTTAATGACTGGAGTGCTCTAACGATAGCGACTTGTGATTTTGCAGCCAAATATAAAGAAATCACACTATCACGCTTGAATTCCATCAGGATTATCTTTTTTTCTGGAGAATTCTCACCAAAATGCTTTGTACGCTTGTAAACAATATAATAAGCTCTAAGTGGAATAGAAATGACAACAGTCTGAAGTTGGTAGCAGTTTTTCCATCTCACCCTGTACGTGTTGAAAGAAAGCTACACTAGGCAACACAACAAATTTTCACGGAGAAAATAGAGCAGTTTATGAAAGAAGAGCTAAAAAAGAAGACAGTTTACATCGCAAAGTAACCTAGATAGAAGGGGAAAGTTTCTCCATATTCTACGATTTTAGAAAATTTTGGAATCTCTTATATATTTTTGCTTTAAAGTGTCATCGGCAATATTATAGATTTCCCCTTATCTTATTTCAAAACTCAAGCAAGTCAAAGAAGGAGTCTTTTTGTACTTTTTTACAAAAATCTCCAACAAGGCATAATTTTAAAAGGTTGACGTCAAAGACGAAAATACTGGGTTAGATGAAAAAACTGCAATCAACTTCAGACTGCTGTCATTTCTAAGCCACTCGTCCGACAGCTGTTAAAATTATTTCAGTGACAGCTCATTATATTGTTTATAAGCGTACAAAAACATTTTGATGAGAATTCCAGAAAAAAAAAAGTTATTCGTGATGGAATTCAAGCGTGATAGTGTGATTTCTTTCTATTTGGCTGGAAAACCACAAGTGGCTCTCGTTAGTGCATTCCAGTATTTGAATATGAATAAATCTTTTGTGTCTCGTACCATCGCCAGTACCGTACAAGGAAATGGACGGAAGAAAACAGCAACATCAGCAGAAATGGTTCGAAAAGTAAAGAAGCGACTTGAAAAATGGCTCGTGAGCAGAACATATCGCAATATTCCATTCGCAAATATTGAAAATGAGCCCGGGGCCATTGAAATTCCAAAAAGTGCAAGAACTTACACCGCAACGGAAAGAAAATAGTCTTAAAAGGGCTAATGGGTTGTTTCGCTTGGCCGAAATTGGTTTCCTCCGATGAGAAAACATTCGTCGTCCAGCAGTTTGCAAACAAACAAAATTATCGTGGATCGTGTTTACTTGCGAAAGAGGTAAGATGAAAATGTGAACTTTCGGTTGGCCACCAGAACTCATGCGCCGGACATGGTGATGGTGTGGGCCGCTATAACAGCCGATGGTCGCTCTCCACTCGTATTAATAGACCGTGGCATCAGAATAAATGCTGAATATTATTGCGAAAATATTCTGGAGGGTGTATTAAAGCCTTGGGCAACCAAACCACAGACTTTGGAGATTCCAACAGGACTCAGCACCATCGCACTCAGCACGCACCACCCAAAAGTGGGTACAAAATGAGGTTCCGCGCTTCATTTCCGGCGCACAATGGCCACCAAAGTTTCCGGATACCAATCCGTTGTACTATTGTGTCTGGAGTATTTTGGAAAGCAATGTTGGCACTAAAAAATATCAAAGTGTCGATCACCTCTAGCAAGCGCTTCGCCGGGAATGGGCCAAAATACCGCAGAGCAACATACGGGCATCGTGTGTCGGTTTCATTGGCCATTTGAAGGCCATAATTCGTGCCAAAGGTGACCAATTCGAACAAATCTAAACTTATTCTAAAATTTGATGCTATTTCCGATATTTTTTTTTTTGTAAAATAAATAAAAAATATGGCGATTGACTTTGTAGCAGTTTTTTTTTATCTCACCCTGTATTTTTCATTAAATTTTACTATAGTCACCATACAAAAAAATCGCTATATTCCTTATATATATGAAAAAAATTGCACCAATATTCCAAAAAGAAATCTCAAAAATATTTCCTAATTTCTGCGATCAATTTCACATCGGACTTTTTCGAGTATCGTAAATTTTCATTTTAGGCGGTAGATGTCAAAAGAAGAAACATTTTCACAACATTTTGTTATTAATCTCAAAACAGAGCATATCTCTAGGTGAAATAGTTTTTATGAAAATTTCATTCAAAATGTGTGTACTGAAAGTGAAAATTATGCTTTTCCTTATTTACTGTTAATTTAATGCATATTTAATCCGAGTCAAAACCACCCTTTATACTTAATATTTTTGGGGGAAGTGTCAAATTAAGAATTATTTTAGACCAAATTTCATTGTTAGCCTCTGAACAAAAGGCAAAATTATTTTTATATGCAGTGGAAATAAAGATTTAGTTTCGTTGGTGACTTATTTTGACTTGCTACGATGCCGCTGAAAGTAAGTTTTTAACCACATTTTAAAAAAAGGACAACAAAGAGGTCTTTTCTGAATCGCTTGAGGGTTAACATTTTCGACCAACATATTCCCCTTATTTTTAAGTGTCGTATTGCCGAAGACTATACATACCTTAAATTCACTGATTCCAAGTAATCTTAATTCGAAAATTTCCAACGGATTGGAAGAGGAGGAAACTTGTCCACTCTGTTTTTATTACTTTTCTATGTAAACTTTAAAACCCCGATACAAGTGTTTTCTGTTTTTAGCTCTAATTTCATAATCTGCAGAATGTTCCCCATAATTTGTGCAAAAAAAAAAATAATAATTTGTAGCACAGTGTTATTATCGGTGGCTTTGGCAAAATGAGAGGACTGAAATTTCGACCGCACGTTATTCCAAGTAAATTGAAATGCATAATAAGATCTGAGAACGTAGACATTTCGACACCTATTTCAATAGTTCAAAATAACACAAAAATAAGTTTTATTTAAAAATAAGCATTACATAATTACTACTAACAATTGTTATAACACAATACTAACAAATACAATACTATTCTATAACAGATTCATAACTCATCTATCGATTTCCTCGATAATTTGTGGCATTTTCATGCGTTGCACTTTGCCGGTGTCTGTTCGCGGTAAATCGTTCAGGAAATAAATTCCACCTCGTAGCAGATACAGGCCATCCATTTTAGATTCTAGATATTCATTTATCATTTGAGCAGTCAGCTGTTGCCCCTCCTCGTCGGGGGTTCTAACTACAGCACATGCAACCAAACTTCCGGCCGCCAGATCGGTTACAGCAAATACACAAACCTCTGACACCCCCGGTATACATTGGATCATTTCCTCTATCGATTGTGGAGATATTTGGAAACTAAGCCATTTGATGATTTCCTTGGCACGTCCCTTAAGATGCAGGAATCCATCATCATCGAAGAAACCCAAATCACCGGTTCGTATCCATTCGCCATCCTTAGCCTGGGCTGTGGCCTTTGCGTTCTTGTAATAACCCAACCAGATGTAGGGGGTGCGGACATAAATTTCGCCCAATTCATTTGGACCCAGCCGTTTGCCATTTTCGTCCACTATACACATGTCTCTGTTGGGCCAGAGTTTACCTTCGGTTTGGGCTTTATACTCGAAGGGATAACCACCATTTATGGTGGTGCATATAAAAATCTCAGATGTACCATAGCCCATGGCAAAGCCAGGTTTATTTTTACCATTCGAAAGAAGTTCCATGATTTGATCCTGTATTGTTTGTGGTATACTGGTACCGCCACTCAACAGGGTATCAATGGACTGGAGGGAGTTGCGTACCACATTCTTATCATGATTAGTAACCCAATCTGTTATTTGGGCACTCGTGGCAAAGCAGTGGGTAACCTTGTAACGTTCGACCAAATCGAAGAAGTATTCGGGGCTATAGGGTCTGTCGGGAACAATGCGTAACGCTGAATATAGGAGACTTTGCACGAAATTCAATATACCCGTCGACCAGAACATCGAACTGAAACACATTATAACGGAGTCCTGTGTGACGGTAAGACTGAAAAAACAGAGAAGAGGGACAGGTTAGTACGGATGGAGTATAATTAAAAAAAAATACAATATAAGATAATTTCGAAGGATTTTTGGTAGGAATATGTGTGGTTATATAATTGATAGTCATTTTCAAGTCAATTAAAAAAAAAGCAATAATCCTATAAAGATTATAATAATCCTATGAAGAGATGCCGAACTTTGAATACCCTTCACGTACTAGAAAAATTAAAAAAATAAAATCCGTTACAAGTTCTGTTCAAATCTTTAAAGTACCGAATATAGGGAGTTGTCGTTATATAAAGGTCTATCCGAAGACGGGGACCTACATAGGCAATTTTTGTCATAGGTCATTACAATATTAATTCAAATACGAAATTTGAAACATTTCCGGTGAATAATGTCACTAAAAATCAAAATACTGAATATGGGGAGGTACTGTTATGGGGGGGCTATACCACATATATAGCCCATTTTCAATACCAAAAGTCCTGCAGAACAAAAACACATCTGAGAAGAATTTTATTAAATCAGCTTCAATTCGTTCGGAAAATTTCTTGATTTAAGCCTTGAGATTACTCTAAAAATATTTTGAACATGTATTCAAAGGTTGTAGGCGTGCGGGCCGAACATTTGATTCTCCACAACACAATAATTTCTTGAAATACCCCCTTAGGTCAAAACCCATTTTAATCGATTTTTTATAACAATAGGCTTCTATTTTGACCCTAACCCCATGACTACAAATTAACATGGACAGACGGAGAGATAGAAAGATAGAGATGCATATATAAGATAAGGGGTCTAGGACCAAAATTTCTCGGTGTTGAAAACTTTTTGGTCTAATCAAACTTATAATATTCCCGACAGATTGTGTTGTGAAGTATAAACAATCGATTATAGCTTTGAATCATTTAAAAAATATTAAAAACATATTTTTTTTAAATATGTCAAAATTCCAATATTATATTAATGCGCCCTTTAAAAAAATATTAAAAATAAGAAATAAACCTTTGTTCGAAATATTTTAAAAATCGAGGGCTCGAAGGTCTCCCTCCACGTCCAAAAGTCCACCTTCAAAATTTAGATTCACCATAGTATGGTACGTGAGTGGAAATTACTCTAGCTTCTGAACGAAATGAAGTAGGTTGATAAAGTTTTACTCAGATGTGTGTTAGGTCTGCAGGACTTTTGGTATAGGCTATATAGGTCCACGTTTTGCTATAACCTCCATATAATTGTACCTCCAGATATTCGGCATTTTGATGATTTGTGTCACATCTTTCACCGGAAGTAATTAAACTTTCATATTAGAAGTACATAATGGTTTCTATAGCCTGTGACCAAAAGTGCATATGCAGGTCCACGTCATCGCATAGGACCCATATAACAGTGCCTCCCTATATTCGGTATTTTCATGATTTTAGCGACATTATTCACTAGAATTGTTTCAAATTTCTTATTTAAGTTCCTAATAGATACTACAGCCGATGGCTGGATATGCAGGTCCAGGTCTTCGTACAGCCCCCATATCATATTAACTCTCTATATTCGGTACTTTTAAGATTTATTATTTATTTATTTATTTATATTTTATTTTATTATTATTTATTTATTTATTTCTTTTTTTTTAAATCTGCAATTTTCTCCCAAATGGTGGGATGTTCAGCCCGGCCGTCTTCAAAATTTTCCATTTTGGAGTTATTAGTAAAACCATTGCACAATGGAACCGAATGCAATTTTTCTGTCCTAAACTATTTCAACGTCTCCATATGTTCACCCAGGAAAACGAGAGTGATCTCAAATTTAAGAATTTTACTTATATCCCTTAACCCCATAACTTGATTTAGTAATATTTAATACACATATTCAAAAAACTATATCTCTCTATCCTAAACACAAGCATTGATCCAAAATTAGTTCAATTTAGTACTTTTCGAATAATTTTAGTATACATTTCCAAAACCACGTTTATATCCCAATTCCAGATACCAATATCAAATTTTAGGATTCCAGCTCTATCCCTTCACCCAATACCAAAATTAGTACAATTTTCTACTTTTTGTGCAAATATAGGACATGTTTCCAAAACGACCTTCAGATCTTAACAAATCACACCAATGCTGGGACCATATCAAATTTCAGAAGTTCCGTTCTATTACTTTACCGAACGCAAAATTTAGTACTATTTTGTACTTTTTATACCCTCCACCATTCTATGGAGGTTATATTAACTTTGTCATTCCGTTTGTAACTCCTCGAAATATTTTTAATAGACCCTACAAAGTATATATATTCTGGATCAGTAAATAAATTGAGCTTTCGCTCCGATATTTCGCAATGCGTTACATTGCATCTTCAGAGAGATCAGCGTAAAATTCCAAGACGATCAGCGATGTCTGTCTGTCTGTCTGCCCGTTTGTCTGTTGTAATCACGGTACCTTTCGAACGAATTGAGATAAAATGCTAAAATTTTGCATACATGCATAGTTTACTAGTAAGCAGGTTAAGTTCGTATATGGGCTAAGCCGGTCCAGGTTTTCGTATAGCCCCCATATAACGGTACCTCCCGATATTCGGTATTTTCATGATTGTAGCGACTGTATTTACTGGAATCATTTCAAATTTCATTTTTAAATTTCGTAATGTGTACTACAGCCTATGAGAAAAAATTTCGTGAGCAGCTTGATGTCTTCGTATATCTCCCATATAACGGAATATCCCGATATTCGGTATTTTGATGATTTTAGCGACATTATTCACCTGAATTGTTTCAAATTTAGTATTTGAAGTTCGTAATGGGTACTATAGCCTATGACAAAAATGGGTACTATAGCCTATGACGTCTGGTGGTGGGTATTAAAAGTTCGGCCCGGCCGATCTTCGCTGCGGTTTTACTTGTTATACAATTATAGTACACACATCCAAAAACACAAATTTCAATTCCAACAGAGACCTCAATATCAAATTTTGAGGGATAGGGTTTCCTACAGTAAAGAATAAATATAGTACCGTTCTGTACTTTTCGTACAAATTTAGGACACATTTCGATACCATTGCTAAATCCTAAACACAGATACTACCATTGATCTCGATCCAATTGATCTTGATCAAATTTCCGGATTTTATCCCCATCCCCTCAATCTATACTTATTGAACAATCACAGTACACATTTTCGAAACCACCTTAATATGCCCAGGCCACACTTGAACACCGACCCTCATGCCCAATTTTAGATGTCAAGCACTATCAGTTCACCCAATATTAAATTGTATTTTCGTGCACTTGTAGTACATATTTCCAAAGCCTCCTCTCTATCATAAATCTACCACCAACCGGGACACAAATGTAAAATTTCAAAGTTCTAGCTTCATCCGTTCACTCTAAACCAAACTGTTCCACATTTAGTACCATTGAGTATTGTTCGCACACACTTAGTACATATTTCAAAAACCACCTTCATATATCAAACTAACTTTCCAAACTTGATTCTCATGTTAAATGGAATCTGAGTACCATTTTGGAGCTTTTCGTAATCTTAAAGTTTGAATTTGGAATAAAAACCTTTGTATATCGATCCTGCACTCTAGCAAAATTTACCTTATTCCGTTTGTCCAATACAAAGTATTCATTTTTCAGTAAATTCTAGTAATTTTCGTATCCTTATCACACGACTGCGCACTGAGACTGACACTCGTGCAAAATTTCAAGATTCTAGCTTCATCCGTTTCGTCTGGGCGTTGATTCTCGATTTGTCATTCAGTCAGTTACTTCACTACTCTTTTATATACTTAGGACTACATTTTTTGCATAAAAATCATACTCACTGTAGATTATTGTGTAGCATCGATTGATGTGAGCACATGATGCCTTTGGGGGTGCCAGTTGTGCCCGATGAACTCAATATAGCTGCAGTGTCTGAACTGCACAGTTTAGAGCAGGGAAATGCTGAAAGATCGCCAACATCCTCGCGTTTCTTTATCAGATCCTTGATATTCAAAACACCATCTATGCTGCCGGTCATCAACACAATTTTAGCATCCAATTGTAACTTGTCCAGGACATAAAGGACATTCTCATAATTTTCTTGATCGCAGAAGATTATCTTAGGCCTTGAAGTTTCATAGATTTTGGCAATGACACCTAAGGAAAAAATAATACATTTGGAAATTTCATACGCACATTTCCGGCGGTAAAATTATTTTTCCTTACCCTTTTCAAAACTCTGAAACACCCCGTGTACCGGTGTTCCACAGAGAAACGAGGCCAACATCACCGTACCCAAATGCAAAGAATGTTTGGCATAACCACCCACAATGTCACCCGCACTGATGCCCATTTCAAGCATGCGTTTAGCCAATGCCATACTGTGATCCAAAAACTCTTGGGCTGTAAGAGTTTCTCCAGTAGACTCTAGGATTTGTATCACTTTTTGTGGCGTTTTACGCAACTGCAAGACTATGGCCTCGCCTACAGTCATATCACGGCTATAGATTTCTTTGGATTTTGGTCCTGACCATATTTTCTCCGCTTCATTGTATTTCGTTCCGGTTAGGTAGGACATTTTGCTACTGCTGCCTAAAATTATGTTTTACCTCCTTCTGGTGTGTCTTTCACAATTGATTTCCCAATACTAACGGAGGCAGGCACACGACATTCTTATATAGATATTTGGCACACAAGCCTCCGACTTTATCACCCGCCCCTTTTTATGATCTGATCATGGTAATCTGAAATTTATAAAAAAAAAAATTTCCAAATCTTTGTTCACACGTGTGGCAGATATTCCATAGAATAGTTGATTACTCTGTTTACGAAATGACTGGCAGAAATTTGAAAAAAAAAGAAAACCAAAATAAACGTCTGGCATTGTATTTATTTTATTTTTATGCCGAGAAACAACAAAAGCATATCGTAGATTCGGTTAGACGATTTTTATAGTAGGAAATAAACAATTGCGGGACTTTGCACCACTTCTGAATTTGTTTAATTTGATGAGTATCATTTCTGAGTAACTCCAACTTAGGACAACAATGTTATTCAAATTTAATAGTGCTTTCTGATCACAATATGGCCTTAAATCCATGCCAAATGAAAATGGCGCCCAACATGTTGCTCTGGACCTTATAATAAATAAACTCAAGGTTTGATATTTCAACTTAAATTAATATATAAAGCGAGGTTTTCTCATCGATTGAGATAATCCCTGGAGCAGCCAGGTCTTCCATAAGGACCCATTAAACCTTATGAAATAAAAAGAGCAGATTTCTCCCTTTGCTGTGTGTCAATCTAATATTTCGTTGGTATTTATATCTATATCTCAATTTACTCGGGTTCAAATGTGATTATATGAGTATGACACGTGTTATGCAAAATTTATTTCTGAAATGCTCGGGAAAGTTATACATAGTTGTTCAGTTGTAATTGATGATCGGAAATTCGATGTTTACGACGACTCGTAGGCAAACGGCGATAATAGTGTTGATATTAAGAGGATGAACATTGTAGACGATTTGAGGGTAATCGGATGTCGAGGTGTGAAGGTAATCAGGAAGTACTATTTTAATGTTCGGGCTGATTTCGGCAATCGGGCTGCAATCGACTTGAAGGTAATCGGGACTTTTTGTAACAGAAATTACGATTCTGATGATTTGTAAATGGCAGGCAATCCAGATCTCGGTGGTTTAGGTGTCCCCGTCTTATTAAATGAATCGGGGACTTGTTGTTAAAAATTCGGGTTCCACAACTCACTGTGGGGATGTTCGGAACCAGACGTCCAGTCTCCTAAGATGTATCGGAAACTCATTGTATCATTGTTTGTGTTAAGCAGTTACTTTTGGGGATTTTCTGGAGGAGATGTCCAACAAGCCGAAGCCCCCACTTATATATTCAGCTCAAAAAAAATGTTTCTACCAGCTAACGAATCTGTAAGTCGAAAGACATCGTATGATATTCTCATTGTTTTTGCTGGTGCTTTTGTTGTCGGTGCTACCATTGCGTGCGGTAGTATTTTTCAACAAATGTATGTAATGATATCAAGTTACACATTGTTTCTTAGTTTATTTATTTATTTATTTTATTTTTATTTATTTATTTATTTATTTTTTATTTATTTATTTTTTTTTTTTTTTTTTTGAGAAGAGGTTGGTATAATTTCGACAAGTTATAAAGAAATCACAATTCTTAATTTTTTTAATTTGGGAGATGACTCTACTTGGAATCAGATCTCAGATCTTTGATGAAAAAAATTAAGATTTTTTTTTGGGTACATACGAACGTCGAGACGTAAACATTTTTTAATGGTGCGAAGAGACTTTCACCATAAAAAATATTCCTAGTTGAATGTAAATTTTGGGAATTTTCTGTAATTGTGACCTGCAGAGCGATTGCAAAATCAACAAAAAATGCTGCGATCCTCTCCAATAGCAGTAAGGTTTTAATCGGACTTGTATCTTTACTTCGTGTGAAATTTCGTTAGGATTGGGTCATAATTGTGACCCCAAGCATAATTACAAATTAATATGGACAGACCGATTTATACAAATAATAAGATCGCCTCAGCTCGGCGGAATATAAAAAATATAATTACGGGGAAAATCCAGTAGATTATGAAAGTAGGACTAAAAAAGAAGCCACGTGTATCGGCGTTTTGAAAGTTTACGTTGAGGGGGCAAGCTCACCGCTCTTCCAAACTTTTCCGGAATCCGGGCATTTTAGGTATAAGAAACTATATATCTTAAATGCACCGATTCCAAAAAATCGCAGAAAATTATAAGAAAAATATTTTAGTCAAAAATTAAATTAAAAACAAGTAAAACAGCTGTTAGTTCGGTCGGGCCGAACTTTGAATACCCTCCACCATTTGGAACGAATTTGGCAATTTTCAAAAAAAAAAAAAAATCCGTTAAAAATTCTGTTACAATCTTAAAAATACCGAATGTAGCCGTCCGACGACGTGGACCTGCATAGGCAACTTTTGTCATAAGCCATTGCAATATTCAAACACTTTAAAAATCGGTAAATAATGTAGCTAAAATCCTCAAAATTTCGAATATAGGGAGGTACCAATATATGGAGCATATACCAAAACGTAGACCTTCACAGACAATTTTCTGTCATAGGCTGTAGTACCTATTACGAACTCCAAGTACCAAGAAACAATTTCGGTGAATAAGGTCGCTATATTCATTAAAATACCGAATATCGAGAGGCGGCATTATACGGGGGCTATACAAAGGCGAGGACCTGTACAGACAATTTTATGTCATAGACTGTAGTATCCATTACGAATTTCAAATACCAATTTAATATACCCCCTTACTATGGTGGAGGTTATAAAAATGTGCTCTTTTTGGTCCTTTTTTTAATAGTGTTAAAAACTTCCTTTAAACGGGTCGTGGCAAGTCAGAATACTCCACAAAATTATTTGTCATAAAATTCTACTATAACTTTATGCAAAAAGTGTCAAAATATATTTTGCTTAAAATTTCACAATAAATCTCAGAATAAACCATTTATTTAAAATTTTGAATGTTTTGTCTCACTTTTTTACTGTTAATTTACCACATTTCCATCCTAAGTCAAAATTCTTGTCTCATTTTTTAGGCAAAGTTTCAAAGGAAAAAACATTCTAAATTAAATTTCATTGTGAGTCTTTGAATAAACGAAATTTGTGTACTTAATATGAATCATAAATAAAAACATTGCTTTCTCTGAAAATTTTAAAATTTTTTCCCAATTTTCTGCAAATTTTCTTATAACTCCAATATAGAATAGCATGTCTAAGTGTTGGATAATGCCAAATGGACTTGTTAGTACTCATTTTTGGATCAATACCACTGCGATATCTACGACGTCATGTTTTAGGACAATATTTTGTTGCCCAGTGTACTTGGACTTTATCTTAACTGGCCATGGAAATAATCTAATTTAAATGTGCACACCCCTTTTATTTTTGTGAATCACATCTTATCTTTCAGCGAAGCAGACATTAAATCAAAATACGTCTCAAGTACGACATAATTACGTGTGGCGTACTATCAAAATGGAATATTTTGGTTTGCAATCTATTGTTGTTTTTGTTTTCATATTTTAATACCATGGCGCGTACGACATAGTATGTCTGTCCAAAGGTATCTAATAAAAGAAATTATGCTTCTTAGGGCATTCATTGACTTGGTGTTCTCAATGTTAATGTTTTCCTCAGAGTTATGGCAAGCTTTTTTAATTTCGCTGAAACTTTTTTGATATGACAAGAAATCTAATCGTCACAGTGTTACCATATCACAGGACAAAACTATTTACACTTCAAGTTTATTAAGGTTTTTTAAGGTTGCCGCTTTGTCGCTTTATTAAGCAAGTTTGACACTTCAATTAATGGTAATTGATTTTAAACCCTTCACCATACTGTGACATATTAAGATAGTCATTTGTCACTCTAGCTTCCAAACGGAATGCAAGTAGGTGGACAACATTTTACTAAAATGTAAAATTTTTTGGAATTTTTTCTTAAATGGAGGAAAACATATTTCCAATTCTTTCTAAATGATGAAGTTAGGCCTGGCCGAACATAGTTGCTTGTTTACATGTTCATGTATTAAAACAGATCCGTGTTTTATTTATTTTTTTTTTTTTAAATTGTGATGTTTATACCCTCCACCATAGTATGACAAAATTAAGTTTGTCATTCCTTTTCTAACACCTCGAAATATATATTTTAGACCCTATATTGTATATTGAAATGCCCTACAACGAATGCAGGTCGTCTTTTTCTTCTTCTTGGTTTCCACATAGGAAAATATATATGGATCTTCCTATCTCGCAGAGCTGAGTTGATTCAGCTATGTACAGGGTGAGATAAAAAAACTGCAACAAAGTCAAACGCCATAATTTTTATATATTTTTTTTATCTTATTAAATAAAGGAAAAAATGTCGGAAATAGCATCAAATTTTAGAACAGGTTTAGATTTGTTCGAATTGGTCACCTTTGACACGAATCATGGCCTTCAAACGGCCAATAAAACCATCACACGATGCCCGAATGTTGCTCTGCGGTATTTTGCCCCATTCCCGGCGAAGCGCTTGCTTTAGATGATCGATACTTTGGTATTGTTTTGGTGTCTACCTTGCTTTTCAAAATACTCCAGACACAATAGTCCAACGGATTCGTATCCGAAGATTTTGGTGGCCATTGTGCGCTGGAAATGAAGCGAGGAACCACATTTTGTAACCATTCTTGGGTGGCGCGTGCTGGGTGCGATGGTGCTGAGTCCTGTTGAAATGTCCAGCGTCTGCGGCCAAAATGTTTGGCTTTAATAAACCCTCCAGGATATTTTTGCGATAATATACGACCTTAATTCTGATGCCACGGTCGATTAATACGAGCGGAGATGACCTTCTTCCGATATGGCGATCCACACCATCAGCAACTCTTTAGCTCTTTTGAGTCTATTTTCTTTCTATTGCGGTGTAAGTTCTTGAATATTTTTGGAATTTCAATGGCTTTAATGACGAATGGAATATTGCGATACATTCAGCTCACGAGCCATTTGTTGGCCACTGCGTTGCGGGTTTCGATCAAGTTGCTTCTTTACTTTTCGAACCATTTCTGCTGATGTTGCAGTTTTCTTCAGTCCACTTTCTTGACGTCGGGCTACGCTACCAGTATCACGGTAACGAGCGATGGTACGAGACACAAAAGATATATTCACATTTAAATGCTGGAGTGTTCTAACGATAGCCACTTGTGGTTTTCGAGCCAAATATAAAGAAATCACACTATTACTCTTGAATTCCATCACAAATAACTTTTTTCTGGAAAATTTTCACTTGCTTGCTTTTTTACACTTGTACAATATAATGAACTGCCACCGGAATAATTTTAACAGCTGTCGGACGAGAGGTTTGGAAATGAAAGCGGTTTGAAATTGGTTGCATCTCACCCTGTACATTTCCAAAAACAGATTGTAAAATATCCTAACTTTCAGCTCTTAAAGGCCGAACAATATGAACATTATACCTTCCAATACCTTTTGTACCTTTAAGGT